ATCGGAATACTGAGGAGTTTGATCATCAGAGGCTTACGACTAACAGACATAGAGTTATGGGACGAGGAGTGGAACAAACTGACACGGATTTGTCTAAGTAATTTATACCCCCAGAGAATTTATATAGAAAAATGTATAGGTGATAAAGGGCCGATTTCAACTTGGATTTTATGAAAATCAGATCAGAAATGAGAATAACAACCAAAAGTGGATTTGCTTGCCCTCATCACAATTGAGCCAACAATTGCGACCTTTATTAGGAAAATGGAATATCAAGGTGATAACAAAGGAGAAGAAAACACTTTTCACTTATCTGCCGATACAACACGAGAAGAAAGACAAACTTGAATGCTCGGGAGTTTATCGCATCAAATGTGGTAACTGTGAGCAGAAGTATATCGGTAAAACAGGAAGAAAAATCGGCTTACGAATCAAGGAACATCAAAGACTATGCAGGAATATGGATACAAAAAGATCAGAAATAGTGGAACACATTGCACGGACGGTGGACGAAATCGACTGGAAATAGACCGATAGACTGGCTGTATATGCTGAAAATACGCGAAAACGCAAGATCCGAAAGGCCATTGATATGCCGACTGAGAGAAATCTAATGAACAAGAGACTTGAAGAAAGCAAGATCAGCGAAAACTTTGGATATTGCCTAAACAAACTAGAAGACCAGGCAACAGGAAGATCAGCAATAAGAAGACGACTGGAACAAGGTAATATCCTTAATTTTAGGAAAAAAGATCGTATGGGGATGAGAGAAAGGAACAATCACAAGCAAAGAGGATACATCTTCAGTGAGCCTTATCAAAACAAGTAGAACAATAACATTTGTTGGTTGGCACACAAAAGACTAGGACATAGGAAGTGATACTAATGGTATGACAGATAGAAACAGGAAAGACGGGTGGAGACTTAAGCTATTTGGCTAACAATGGACGTATTTGATCATAGTCGTGATCCTTGAATCACGACTATTGTTAGCCAACCAGTTCTAGCTTTCACTGCTTCTATCCTCTTTCTATCTATAATACCAAGCCTATGACTTCCTATGCCCTAGTATCTTGTGTGCCAACCC